TTGAGGAATTGGCTAGCATGGTTAAAAACACCCTAGGGAGATAAGCCCCGCCTTGTAAAAATAAGCCACGACTGCTTCAAACAAACCACGCCCACAAAAAGTTACTCTAATTAAAATAAAAACCTCTAGTGTAATGGTTTATGCCTATTTATTAAGTAGCCATACCCATTTAAACTACAACGGATTAGCCCCCATTGAGAACAAGTTACGCCTAAAAGTAGCAAGTTCCTCATCTCACTAAACCCCATTCTAGTTCCTTTTTCCATGCACGTGAATTACCAAACAACTAGTCAATAGAACACATTTTAAACTCTAATAAATCAAATCTGTTTTTGGATTTGGTCAGAGTTTTTTTTTCATATCACTGTTATTTTCCCAATACTACGTGTTATTAGGATGGGCAGGAAAGAAGTGAGCTCTTGTATCGAAATGGTATAAATTACTTGATATTCCGTCAGAATTGTTTCATAGGAGCTCACTTTTCTCTTTTTATTTGCTAATTAGAAGAGATATCAGGATTGGAAGACTGGAATGTCCCCTCCGTAGGAGCACACTATCAGAAGGTATCAACATGTGAAAGGATGATGTGTGTATCAGAATGATTAAATTTGATTTTCTATTTTGTCAGAGCTTTTTCATAGGAGTTTACGTTTCTCTCTTATCAGGAGGTATCAGAATGAAAAAAATATAAATGAATTCTTGTATCAGGTTGACAACAAGTTATGTATTTGGCTTGAGTTGTATCATAGGAGCTCATATTCCACTAATACTTTCCCTTTCGGGAAGTATCAGGACAGAAAAGGTAGAAGTGTATCGGATGATTACAAGGTTTTCATAGAAGCTAGAATTTCACTATTTTGTCCAATATCCGATGGAAAGAGTAGAATTGTGCTCTTGTATCAGGATGGCATAAACAGCTCGGTATTCCGTCAGATTTGTTTCATAGGAGCTCACTTTTCTCTACTTATTTGCTAATTAGAAGAGGTACAAGGATTGGTGGACTGAACTTTTTCCTCCTTAGGAGCTCAATTCCAGGAGTTCAGTAAAATAAATGTCTCAACGATTAGGTCCGATGAAGACATCATTCTGAGAATTGGGAATCCAGGTGACAGCAAGTTAAGGTCGGCTCTATTGGGTCTCACAGTGGATCCTGTTAACATTAATCCTTAAAAAAATCATATAAACTTAAAGGACCAGGTATATTGTCACCGAGGTCTACCCACCCTAGGGATGTAGTGGTTGGAAGGAAGCTAGTTTGTACAGAAATGGCTGTTGGGGGGGGGGTGCCAGGATAGCTAGTATAAATGTTTAATCCGACAGGTTAGTTTGACATGAGCTCAATTTTCGGTATTATCTGCCAATATGATACGGATTGAGAAGGCAGAAGTGAGTTCTTGTATCAGGATGAATAAATCAGGTTTTATTTTTTGCAAGAGTCTTTTACTGACCAATATCAGGCCTTATAATAACTAGAATGAGCAAAAAAAGCATCAATATAAGAAATGGTTGAGCAATTTTTCCAAACAGTTTTGAAGTATTATCCCGATCGATAGGCCAACTCGTCAAACCGGTGTGATATTTTAATTAGACTTTTATCAACTGGGGTTGGGGGAAGATGGGTGAATACGTAATTGGTGTCCGTCTAAGGTTGAAAAGCCGATAACGCATCGACGGAACCTTCATTTATTCATCGGAGATTGGAGCTGGGGTGGAACCCCCTCGCGACCCCCGACTCGATACCTCCTTCACCCCTTATTAGCCCCATTGTGCACCCGTGGCATTGCGCCTCCCGGATCCGATGTCCGATTGGGCCAAATTGCCATTCCTGCAGCCAGTTTTATACGTGGATGACACTTAAAAGGCCGGCTCGTGAGAAGCCGTCGATCCCGACGCATTCAACAACGGATTTAAGCCTTATTTAAGGTTATTATTACAAAGCTCAATATCAACATAGACTCGGAAAACTCTCAGAACATGGCTAACAACACTAGTTAAACTAAAAATACACATATTACAAGTTCTTTCTGTATCTAAAGTTAATAGATTACAACCCTAACCCAACGATAATTCAAATGGGCGTTATGTAAGTAGGTGATGTGATCTCCAATGGGTTTGGGTTAACTTTAATGGAAGATATTTAACTTCAATGGGCTTGAGTTAACATTAATGGATGATGTTTAACTTCAACGAGCTTGGGTTAACTGTATAGGGCGTGGTTTGACTTAAATGGACTTGGGTTAACTGTAATGGGCGTGGTTTAACTTCAATGAGCTTGTGTTAACTGTAATGGGAGTGGTTTAACTTCAATGGGATTAGGTTAACCTCAATGGGCGTGGTTTAACTTCAATGGGCTTGGGTAAACCTTAATGGGTGATGTTTAACTTAAATGGGCTTGGGTTAACTGTAATGGGCGTGGTTTAACTTTAATGGGCTTGGGTTAACTGTAATGGGCGATGTTTAACTTAAATGGGCTTGGGTTAACCTTAATTGACGATTTTTAACTTAAATGGGCGTGATTGGGTTAACTTAAATGAACTTGGTTTTCTTTGAATGGGGGGTGGTTTAACTTTAATAAGCGTGGCTTAACTGTAACGGGCGTGATTTACATTTAACGGGCGTGGGTTAACATCAATAGACGTGGTTTAGACCTAATTAGCGCGGTTTAACTTTAGTTGGCGTGGTTTAACTTTAATTGGCGTTGTTTAAATTTAATGGGCGTTGCTTCACGCTAAAGGATATCGTGTTACCCTCCCAGGGCTGGCACAATTTTAACATATTTAACGTATTTTCGGGATAGATACTTATAATTTTTGCGTGACCAACTTTTTGTTAAGTTAGATAGGGTTATGAAAAGGTTATGTTAGGTTCGACAAAGTTACGGGTTAAGACCCAGTAGTGACAAGTCAGATTAGGCAGAATCAGGGTAAGGATTAGGGCAGGTTAAGTTAGGTTACCCCCTTGGTTCAGAAAGGATTATGGTACGATATGTGGAGTTGAATTACCATATCTATAAGTTAGGATATGATGGTTAGGTTTAAACTGTCAGCATTAGTAATAGATCTGTACTGTTACAGTCCTTGACAATGTTGGGACTAAGTCGGTCTTCGAGAAAATTTGAGATCGCCTATAATAACATAAATATGTCAACCTGTAGACATAGTTGTTTTGCCCTGATGATTGCCCTAAAATAGGTCGAAAGCTTGGCTGTAGTAAACCAATAAATATGCTTTCTTCTTAAAGAGGATACCTTGATCCACATAATAGAGACAGGTTGGATAGAGTGTGGGTTAGAAGAGAGTTATGGTAGAGTTGGATTGTAATAGGGTTAGGTTAGGTAGAGTCATGGTAAAAAAAAAAAATTAAACTACTTAGGATTGTATATGATTTGGTTGCAAAAGGGTTATATTGCATACAATAGGCGGAGTTGAATTAACTTAGCGTTATGTTTAGAGCAAGTTTAGTTAGTAATAGGTTACGTGACTTAATGTTAATGGGCGTGTCTTAGCACCAAATGAGAGGAGTCCAAATTTAGTGGACGTGGCTTATCCCATTTGGTGTGGTTTAGCATCCTAGCAAACATTCTTGGTTTTGGATCATCGATCGAGTTGTGTCTCTCGTAACAATTCTCAACGGACAGAGGTTATTCGTCAAAGAAACTTGGAACATATGTTTTGTGAATGAAAATTGTCGTTTACAAATGTTTTGAGTTGTTCAATTTGCATGTACTCCGCGGCTATCGATTTAAAAAATAGACAGGTTATCCATGCATCAAATTGACCGCCTTGATCGCTGCCTATTGTACGTGCTATCACCTCCTGACGTCCTCAGGGGCGTCAATTCTCCAACATAAACGTCAATTTTTACGGTCCGCGCCGGTTCTAGTCTAATTAAATTCTTTTACTGTCTTTGAAGGAGGAGACGATAAAAAGAAAAACAGGCAACGCAAGCAGTGCAAATGGCGTCTACACGTGCTTGTAATCCTGATTTGTCTTTCAGGCCGAGCACTTTACGTTAAAAAACCGACTAGAAAGTCTTAAGTCGGATCATCTCAGGTCTAAAGTCAAAAATCACTCACTGATAACTTAGCTTAATCCAAGCTTGAAGATTCTTCGGCAGCGTGAAGCCAGTCTTCAACGGACCCATTTAACAGAAGATAACACGACACCAAATCGTCGAGAATAATCGACAAGCTTCCGCCTCCTGTCGAGACCCCCCCGGCTCTTGTCAGAATTGATTTGAAACGTCACCCGAAGGATTTTTTTTAACGAAACCGACTCAAATTGAACGCAGAGAAAAGAAACGAGGCGGAAAACAAAATTAAAACCATCCTAAAATAGATAGGACATTCCGGCTCGAAACATTTCCACAAAACGCCCACCCCTTGTCGTATGGACATGAACAGTTAAGTACATCCGTTATTTATCGATGGACATGGTGAGAAAACCGTGGACCGAGATCCAAAAGGTTACTAAATTGAACTAATTAATTATCATTTTTTAAATTAAATTTTTATTTCTTGAGTTTTGGAAGTAGAAAAAGTGTGAGGAATTAGCCACTACGGTTAAAAATACTGTATTGATAAGCCACGCCCGAGACATGATCCATGACGTCAGGATAAGATAAGCCACGCCCCGTGTAAATGAACTATGACGTCATAAGAAAAAGTACGCCCAGTGGTGATTGTTTATATTTGTTGATGACAAGCCACGCCCACAAGTTAATGTGTGTAGGTCAATTACACAAGTCAATCGAGCAATTTATAGAAAATGATATTAAACCACGAGCTCCTATTCACTTGTAAGTCAATTTTCACAGACTAGTCATTAAATTTATAAAATGAAATATACTAAGAAAGTATGAACTCCTGTTTATCTACCGTATTCATTGTGATGATCGTACCCATTTGAAAGTCAAGTTAATTGTTGAGCTTTTTCTCTTTAAGTTTTCTTCTTTTGTTTTGGGAAGAATTTTTCTTTCATCTGTTGACCTTTCTGTTTCAGATGTGGCCTACCGCCCGCAGGAGGTTGCCGAAGGTGAGTCAACAAAACCTTTCGTTTATAGTAAGGCCAGACGGTCAGATTCGACCCCTTCACGGTTTTCACCCCGTGCCCTCGTAGATTTCCCAAAGGGGCCGGCCCTTTTCTGAAATTAAAACTCGAGAGGGTCCGTTCGGTTTCGCCTCTCCTGGCCCGGGATCGATACGAAATGTTTCCCATTTCGACCTGATTTAATTCCTTTTGTTGATTTCTATCAGGCAGTTGATCCACGAGAATCCTTATCGTCGTACTCGGTTAGAATGGTATTTTAATTTTCAGGGTGAAACGACTCGGGAGGGTTGTAAATTTTCAAGAAAAGTGGTCTCGGTTCGGTTAACAAAAGGTCCCCGGAGAAAGATTTTCAGAGGTGCCTTTTTGAAATCCGATATCTGCCTGGGAGGTTGGTAATTAGACGTGAGAAGTCCAATCCCGCCCCCACAATAGGACGGGTATGGTCATCGCAGTCGGATTCAAAAAGGGGATCTAAGCTAAGTCCCCACCCTTAAGTACACCCAGCCTTGTAATTTATGAGGACAACTTTATGAAATAAGCCTCCACGTTGGCAACTTAAACCCGAGGTTTTATTTTTAATTAAGTAGCTTTTTTGGATTTTTTTCACTCTCCCTGATACGGATACATACGCTTGTCGCCTCAGGACTGTCTGAGAATAATGTCCAACCTTTGTTTTAACCCAGTATTTTATTTTATTTGGTATTTTGACTCTTAAAGGGGGCCATTAGGCGTATGAGCGGTTAGGAAAGCTTCCCGTCGAAATTTATATCCCAAGCCCATTTCCCAGTCCGATAGTTTCCCTCCGGGCTGCGGCTGGTGAATAAATTTACAACATAGTTTATTTAAACGAAGGAAAAACCCGGAAGCCCGGGGTTGGACGTATTAAAAAAAATAAACCAGCCCTTTTTTGGGGATTGGGAGGTCGTAAAATGGAAACTACTTTTCCTCATGGGAAAATGAGGGATTCTTCTTTCCCTGGGAACCGATCTGTGTTTGTATACGAGGTTTGATAGGAGTAGGTGAATGAGCCCGCAAACGGCATTCGTGCACGATCGGCTCGACGCGTCACCGCGCCGTTCCCACCCCGTTAAACGCTCTACTCGATTGCTTAACATTCCTGAACTCAGGAAAACTGGAGAAAAACTGCGAAAGCAAGGTCATAAGATGGGGGAAAAATTCGAAACGTCCCCTAACCGTCAGACTTATATCCTCCGATAGCCCACAACTCAGAAAAGCTATAATTCCTTCAGATTGAACTGGCTAATTAGGACACCATCCTGGACTAAGTATAAAGTCCAAAATATATTAAGTACGTCATGATTAATTTTTAAGTCGCCCAGGTAGAAATTATGCTTTAATTTGAAAATTAAAAAAGAGAGAGAGAGGGAGGGAGTAAGGAAAATTTTTGGGATAAACTACGACGTACTTTGTCTCTAATCTAATCAGGCTGCTTAAAACCGCGATTAAGCCTCAAGGAGGGTTAACCCCCCCTTTTAGGTGCTTAGTTCTTAATCCGCGTAGCCGAGAGCAGGCAGTATATAAAAACTTTTTCCCTGCTAGTTCAGTCCATTTTTTTCACCCCGAGATCCAGCGCGCGCGCACGCAACAGTTGGCCTTACACCCGCGGACGTGGAAGTTTCCGCATAATGCCGGGCCGGCCGAAGTTTAACTTCGGATAAAATACACCCCAGATCCTCCGGGGGTGGGGGTTGGATCCAAAGACAAATCCAATAGGGGGGACTAAGCCGATCCGGATAATCTCCCCCTGTGTATCCGAGATTAGCGGGTTTGCTTAAAATATCAGGAGTTGGGAGTTCGACAGAAAGGGCCTCCCTTTTCACCTCCCCACCCGAAAATCATTTACGCCCCTTGGATGACAATTTTTCCTCAACCCCCTTTCAATACATCACCCCCTTACCCTCTTAGAATCTGAGACGTCTCATGTTGTAAATTCCCGACCTATTTGTCCCTTTTTTTCTTTGGTAAATGAAAACGTTAGCTGGCATAATTTATCTATCGGAGCTTACGGGGGGGGGCGAAGTCCTTCCGGGGCTTCGCACGTGGGCCTGACGCGTGGGACAAATCGGCTTCCAGGGCTTGTTTGATGGCCGAGGAGCACCTTGGATATTTGTCCGGGATTTACTCCGACCTGGAAGACAAATCCCTCCCCACATCATGGAAATGGGAAAAATTATTTAAAACCCAACCATGTTTGTAACAACGAATGATAAATATTTACCCCATTTCCTACTCCACTTAAATCCTTTTTTTAAAATCCGCGTTGTATGGAAATCCTCTTACGCCCTTGATCGTTTCGCCCCAATCCGTCAACACGTCAAAAACACCCCCTATTATTCTCACGGGGGTGCGGAGTTTAAAAACACTTCAATTGAACAATCGGTGACTCTTGGCCCATGACCCGACAACATTCAAGCTATGATATAGCCAAAACCTTTTGTAAACATACAGCCCACCAAAGAATTGTTGTAAATTGAATTGTTTTTTTTTCTTTGTGATTCCTGTTTAGGACAAATAGAAGAAAAATTATAAATCTCCAAGCCTTACAGGCGTATTTTAAACAATACCATCTTCGAATAAACATACCGCCCCCCAAAATTTTATATTGACTCTTGAAAACACGTTAATGCAGCTGATGCTAAATAGTCGTTAAACGTTCTCATGAGAAATGTACCCATATCAATTCTTCATTTTAGCAATAAACCGGGGATTAATTATCACAACATAACGCCCACCAAATTTTTAAATATTTCATGGTGAATATTGAACTAGTGAAGGTGTAGTAGATGGCGAAAGGGTGTCGTGATTGATAATTTGTGGACTTTATTATTCCAAAATTAAGAAATGCCTCAAGCACTGACATTGTACATTACGCGCCGACCAAAATTCAACTTTGTTTCCCTGTTTTGTTGAACTGCTGGTGGCAATAATTGGTCATTACCATGTAAATCACTACCAAATTCAGCAGGACTTATAGATTTAGCCAACTATCTAATACCACACCTTATAGCTTAACATACCTCCCAGCATAAGTTGAAATTATTTTTCTAGATCTGAAGACCTGACAACATACTATCTATCAAAGTTAAACTTGTTGCAAAATAACCTTGAAATGTGGGAAAATCATTATTGGACCTTACCAGTCCATATTAAGAGGCATTTTTGTCAACGTACTATAAAAGATAAACATACCATCCACCATAAGTTCAAATTGTTCCTAGGAAATATTGAACTATTGAAGTTGAATTTTATGGCGAAAGGGTTAATAAATCTAGCTTGGTTAATTCTATTACTTACCAATCCAAAGTTGAAGAAATATCTGTAATCAGCACATCGTTCACGAACATACCGCCCACCTAAAGATAAAATTTATCCCTAGTAAATATTGAACTGGTGGAGTTGTTGGCGAAACGATCAGGAAACAAGCTAGGCAATTGGCGGACTGTAAAAATCCATAACTTAAAAGGCACATTGTGTTTTCATCTGCCTCTCAGTTTTAATAAGACAAGAAGGTTCAAATGGTCAAATAGAACAGGACCCGGCGCTCGTAATCACCGGTGTGGATCCGCATAGTCTCGACGTTCTATGTATGTACTTTTATTGCATCATTCCGTTGAGAGAAAAAAAGACCCAATTGAGTTCGTCGGCGAATTGAATTGTAAAGTCGGCAGGTCGAACTGTAATAAAAACTCTGGGACCGGGAATGCGAAAGGTTAATTGACTTAGTAAAAAAAAATCGTGGGTGGGGGTTCCAATTAAAAGACCTCTCTTCTAATATCCTCCAATTAACTTTTTTCCTCCTTGTCCCGGTAAGTTTCCCGCCCTCGGAGTGGGGGTTGAGCGTGTCCGGTTTTTTCCTCACTTTCACAGTTTCACCACATCGAGACCGGGCGACCGTGACGAATCGCAGCCACTGTCTTGCCTCCTTAGGCCAACCCTTTTCGAAGATAGGACCTGTAGGCACGTTAGCCGACCGGATAATCCGGGGATTTGCAGGTGGCCGATAATGCGTGAATTATATTAACACGGCCCCAGGGGGCGGGAATCTCACCTCCAGGAGGACCGGCCGCGATAAACAGTTCACTAACGGGGGTTTTCACACTTCCGCAAACTTAGAACAACCGAGTAAACGCACTACTAAGTAGTAGTTTTAAGTAGTGATAAGTAGAAAACACAATAATAACGATAATAAAACATTAACAATCCTGAAGGCGGCCGGTATGTTTACCCAAACGGTGAATCGACAAAAAGTGCTTCTTATACTTTTTATGATTTTTAGGATCCATAAATTGCCTAGCATTGTTTCCTAACTTTTTCGCCATAAACTCCATCAACAGTAATCCATAATCACCGAGAAAAATTGAATCTTTGGTTGGTGGTATGTTTATATTGAACCTATGATGACAGGAAGTGTCTTTTTAATATGGATTGATAAGTTCCATAAATTACATGGCCTTGTATGTTATACCTTCCGCCATAAACTCCACCATGAACAATTCAATATTCACGAGGTAAAATTTCAACTTGTGGTAGGCGGTATGTTTATCTACAAGGTGTCTTGACAACAAGTGTCTCTTAAACTTTGAATTAGTAAGATCCACAAATTTTCCTGATATTGTGTCCTAACCCTCGCGCGAACAAATCCACCGTCAAAATTTCTATGATGTTGATTGGGATTCGGGATGTTGTGGTCTTCAAACATACAATGTTATTATATCAACGCCCAAGCTTTCGACAAGTTTTATTGCCTTCTTCAGGGGATCTACAGAGACATAAGGACATAATCATTTAAATAGTTATAAATTACTGTAAATTACAATAATTGTACTTACAGATACAAAGTCATAACATAAACACATTACACATTTCACGATATGTATATATACAAACTATATCCATATATAATAAATAAATAAATAAAAACCTCTTCTTAATAGCTTCTTACATATATATGCATTTTTTTTAAC